TTCATGAAAATGTGAATTGTTTTTAGTAATTGAATAAATATCTAATAAATTGTTTAAATACTTATAAAATAATTAAATAAATTTAAATACTTATTAAATAATAATAGTTACCTAATTAATATATCGATAAATGTTTACGATTAAATGAAGTTTATTTAGAAAGTAATAATATTCCATGCATTGTTCACATTTATAAATTATAAATTTTTTTCATCCAATAAAGTATTAAAATTTCTATAAATATTTTATTACATAAATATTAATACAGTTGTTAATTATATTAACTTAATACATATATTAACACCTTTTTAATAATATTATTTTTAGAAAATTGAATAGTATCAACCTCAATTAAAGGATTTAATGCTTATATGCTAACTATATTATTGTGTTTTTAAGTATATTTCCAAATTCGTTTTAAAATATTTTTCTTATAAATAAACGCATTTTTTGTAAAAAATAAACATAAATTCATATAAAAAATATTTAATAAATTTAATTCCTTTAATGTTACGATTGTTAAAATAAAAGAATTTGAAAATAATATTAAATTATTACATTATATTGAAAAGTGGTTAAGCGTGAAATACAACTATATCTTATTATTTTGTATTTTATGTTTTACTTTTCACATTAATCAGACTGAATAATTAAACATAGAAACTGAAAATTTTATTTATCTAATGTTACAATTCATAAAAAATGAAAATCACGTATTATCATTAAGAAATAAATGTTTTATCTTTATTTATTAAGAGTATTTAAATTATTAAATTATTAACAATACCGTTACTATTTTTGAAATGTTCAAATAAAATTTGTATATGCAATATTTATATCAATCCTACTTAAAACAAAAAATTTTAGGTAGTGATTTTCTTAATATTTATTTATGTTTTTTGTTTTTGCTTATATTTCATTTATATTTTTTCATTACATTTATATACATAATATAACTTATACAACTATTATATTAAATATTTGTACAATTTAGATATAATTTTTAATAGTATTTATTTATATCTGCAATGTAATAGAATTTTAAATTTAAACATAATTGAATAAATGAATTGTGAATATAAATTAGTATATTGATGGATTATTTTCATTTTTAACGTAGCTTAATCACTGTTAATACTAAAACGTTTTTCAAATGTGCTAAACCATTTATTTCCTACATATGTTGATACATCCTTCTCGAAACTATCAACCAAGGTATTATTTTTCTCCTAGACTTTTGTTAAAATTGCAAAATACATAACGGTCACATTTTTATACGAATGTTTGTTATTGATCCAATATTAATAGAATGTATAATATTCATAATTAATAAATATTTGTTTAAATACAAATAGAATTAGTTATTTATATTCTATGAATAGTCACCATAGGTTAGTCAATAAATAAAAATTTCTTGCTTTATTCTAAGATTGATCAAATCGTTTGTGCGCTGTTAGTCAATAAATAAAAATTTCTTGCTTTATTCTAAGATTGATCAAATCGTTTGTGCGCTGTTAGTCAATAAATAAAAATTTCTTGCTTTATTCTAAGATTGATCAAATCGTTTGTGCGCTGTTAGTCAATAAATAAAAATTTCTTGCTTTATTCTAAGATTGATCAATTCGTTTGTACCCTGTTTTGAGCAGATTTAAAGAGCAGCCAGTTCTTGATGCAAACTATTTCATTATAATAAAACAATTCGTTACGCTATACATGAATCTTGTTACATAAGTAGTTCACATTTAATTTTCTTTCAACCTAATTTAAACTCAACAATAAAAATGTTATATTCCTCTAAAACAAATATTTACTTATAACTTTAAAATACTTATCTCAGTAATTAATGAATAAAAAATATTTCTATTCTTCAAAAAATATCCGAATTAATTAATTTTCTGAACTATTAAACAACATTAAGTACGATCTATATTTAAATATTCATATCTTTATAAGTTATAAAATTTTAGAAGAGCTATCAAGAAATAATCAAAGAAATACTATCTCTATGCGAGGCACATAACTTTTAATTCTAGTTTTGATGCCTAATTTTATAAAAATTGAATTTTCCAAGGCTATCTCTGAATAGAAAAGGTATTTCATTAAATTTTACTCCATTACAGTACTTCACGGCACACATTAAATTTATAATCAAATTCTTAAAAATATTTTTTTAATATAAGAGAATTATTTTTATAATAGAATGAAGGGCATACATAAAAGAAGTATACTACAGAACTTAGCATGAAGATGATATATTAATGTTATACATAATTAATAGTTCATGAGCCGCCGATAGTTTTACACGAAAAACAATAAAAATAAATTCAGTTAAATTCTTAATTTGTATTAAATAATTATGAATATAATATTTTTAAGAATTTTTTAGGTAAATTTTTGATAACTTGATATTTTAATTCATACATCAGCTCAAATTTATAAATGTGCTATATTATATTGGCTTATAGTATTAAAAATAAGACAGATATCCTTATAACTTTATCAAATAAGATTTATAATGATAATTGTTGGTAATATTTATTATACAAAATGTTTAAGTAGTGATAATTAAAAATTAAACTTTAACTTTATTATATTTAAATATTATTATATTTTATTATTTTCTTCTATTGAAGTAAACAATTTATATTAGATTTAAAAAAGTGGTTAATATATTATAAAGGTAGTATATAAATTGCACATTTTTATTCTAAAATTAAAATTTGTTGAAACTATCCATATAAAAATCAATTAATGTAATAGAATATGCTACATTAAATAAGACTTGTAGGAGTAATGATTAAAATCATTCTTATAGAAACATTTATTATATTGTTAGTTACAAAAAATAATCAGAACTATTTGAATTTAATTAATAGTTATTATTACAATAAAATATTATTTCATAATTTAATTTATTGTCATTAACATTTTCAAAATTATTATTCTATAAATATATTTTAAAACATTTTATGTTGTATTTAAACTTAAACTCAGTAAAATTAAATTGAAAAGTATACATAAGATTTTGCAACTTGGTACATTTATTACAGCTACATTGAAATAAAAATATAAATAAACTGAAAAAGCCTATATGCTTTATTTAAGGAAATTAGTTTTATACAAAATATTAAAAAAAATGTATTCTGGAGTTAATTTGTTATTTCCATTGTACAATTCGATTGATTTTATGTTTAAAATCAACATTTGTGAAACATTAATTTATAAATAAAATAATTATTAAAAACGTATTATTATAAAATAATGCTGTGGTTACAATTTCAAAAGTAAATTAAAAATATTAATAAAATGCAAATAAGTATATATAATTAAATTTAAATAAAATATTATCCTTAAACTAAACTTTTTAAATAATACAATTTAAATTAAAATGATGTGTACATAGGTATACGTATATATATTAACAAGATATATACACAAATGCTTAGTAATAAATTGCTATAAAATCAAATTTTTTAATTTTATAAGAATTCTTTTATTTTCAATGAAAATATATGATTCTTTCAGATGATAAATAAATTTAACATGTAAAAATTATTTGTTTTCATTACAACATATATTGTATAATAAAGAAAACAGTTTAATTTAATAATAAGATTTTATTACCAATACTTTTATTTTTAACTAGTATTATAAATTGATAAGTTTAAATTATGAATAATTATCATAGATGAGCTAGTAATACAAACCACATTTTTTGTTTTGAAGCTCTTTATTTAATATCAAAATAAATTATTTATATTATTATATAAACTGATTGACTGGATTAAAATTTAAATCATTAAGAAATTGCATTTACCTCATTGTCTGATGATAATTCTTCATAATCTGAAAATGTTTTCTTGAACACAAAAATACTGTCTGATGGATCCAGTTCTCTATTATTACCAAATTGTGTGTACCTAATACAGCTAATCCTTTGTGAAGAGGTTTCTGCCATATTTAAGTTATTAATTGACCATTTGATATTCTTCATCTAATTTGTTTTTAATGATAATTTCTTATTAACATATTTAATAATAATTTTATATACTAATAACGTAAAATTAACGATTTATGTTTGTCCATGTATAAATTAAAAAATACAATAATTTCATTTCTTTAAAATATTAAATCTTGAAAATTTCAATAAAATTATTGCTTTAAAATACAATTAGATTTTATACTAAAATAGTATTAAATAAAAAATAATTACGAATAGTCAGAATATAATAAATAAAAATAAATAAGTTATTGACTCTCTAACGTTAATTTAATATATTTAAATATTTGTCAAAAGTCACATGTTTATATATATATATATACATATTTTTTTTTAGGTTAAACATATTTATTTATAAAATGTTTATGAAGTTTTCATATTTACAAAACATTATAAGTGAAATTAAATAAATAGTTTAATATCTATATTTACCAGTTTAAGAAAGTAATCAAATTTCATTTATTTAAATGGACTATTTATAACAAATAAACTTACTTAGTTAAAGTACAACCGCCATATCAATAATGACTGATTTGGTACGTAATACACCATAAGATTGATATAAATGGAATGGTGAATTTAGGAATTGAGTCGCAATAATCGACTTAACTTATCTCGAACTCATTTTCTCAAATCTGAAAAATAATCATTGGCAGGTAGGTAAATGGTATACGTAATTAGTTTCACTAGGCTGGAGTGTGCAAAATTTAAAAAATTTTAATTAATTTATTGCGAATATGTGAATATAAAATTAAAAATTTTTTATTTCCTTAAGTTTCTTTTTATTACATTCTCAGGCATATAACCCACATCAGTTAGGTTAATTCTAGGAATAATTAAGTTTAAAATTTAAAGGAATAAATCTCGTTTCAATCGGTTTTATTTGTATAGTAATATAAATAGTTCCATTATAAATACCAGATTCTTTAAAGAAATTGGAAAATATATATTTATTTATTTATTTACAAATTATTTAATTTAATCAGAATATTAACATTGATTTTATTTAAAATCATTACTTTCTATTTTCATGGGTAAAACCGTATTTGAAGATGGTTTTAAAATTACATTTCCTTTAATATTATTTTCAAATCTACAATTTTGTAATGAAATATCAGGTAAGTTTTGTAAAATATCTATATCTCCAACTTGACCTTTAGAATTATTCAGATAGTCCATTTCTTTTCGAATACCATATTCTTTACAATTTGAAAAAATACAATTATCAGCTGATAATTTTGAATTGTTATTAAGCTAAAAAAATGTACACACACACACACATGTATATTCATACATTTAAAAATTGTTTCATTAATAATTATTCATAATTTATTTATATAATACCTGAAGTCCTTCGATACAATTTTCAAAACTGCATTCAGATAAAATTACTTCAGCTAAAGTATGAACTACAATACATGTTCCTAAACCAGTAAAGTAGGTATTATTTGCAATTAATTTGGCACCAGGAAAAATTACAATTCCAAGTTTAATTACACTTTGATTGAATACAATAATACGACAATTAATTAATTTCAATAATCCTTTTCTTACAAGAATTCCAGCTTGTAAATCTTTCAGGTCTATTGTAATGTTTTCTAAAAGAACCTAGTATTATAAATATTTAAAAATTTATATAAATATTGAGCATTATATAAAATATGATGAAAATATTTTACTTACTTCTTTTCCAGAAAAATCTAACAATGATGGTCCACTTTCAGTTTCTTTTGGAAATATAACTGTTGATTCTACATTACTTATACCTCTTAATATCCCTCCTTCTTCCAAGTTTCCAGCACCTCTAATTTCATGTTCCCCTTTACCAACAATAATAATGTCTCCTTTGTCTGATATATCCAAAGCATCTTGTAAACAATTAGAAGTCCTGAAAAATAAATAATATTATGATTATTCATATTATTAAATAATATATAAAATTTTTAACAATATTAAAAATAAGAACTAAGTTTTATCAATTAATTATAAGTTTATCTCATGTTTTATTACTTAAATACAAAATTATTTTAATACTATTCAAAAATATATTATATAATCATTTGAAAGAATAAATTACTTCATAAATATATTAGATGGAAGATAATTTTTAGTTGATTCCAAAACCTTTATTGTTTCTTCTACTGATCCACCGAGCCATACAAAATGGGCTTCGATTTTTCCTCCTCTACTTTCTCTCCGTTTTAATTCAATTTCATTACCATTAAAATTTTGATTTTTAACAAGCACTTCTCTCATTGCTGGATTTTCTAAAACTTCCATCTCGGTTCTTATTTGTTGAAGACGAAAATGCAATTTCATTAATTGACACGCTTTACCCTCGTCTAAATCTTTCTGATTGTCATCTTCATCATCTGAAATTTCTAATTCTAACTTGCTAATTTTTGCTTGAATATCACGACCTTCTCTCATTAAAGTCCTAACTAATTCGCATGTTTTTTTACACATTATTCCCCTTTTCATATCAAAAAATAATCTAAGTCTAGTTTCTAAATGATTGTTAACCCAGTCTGAAATTTCATCTTCATCTATATCCCAAGGCATCCACAAATAACTATAGAAAAATCGTAATTGGTCTATGCATTCTGCTGTAGCAACTATATCTAAAACTGCATTGTTTTGGTCTTTTGTTGGATAAAGTTCTATTAAAGGTACATCGTATCGTGCTGGTAAATGAATGTCATCTTGTACTGCAATAATTTTCACTAATGCTGAGAGTTCTTGAAAATCTACATTTTCTATTTCTACAGCAACAATAGTTGGATAGTGTACTGAAAAATCTTGGCAAGTTAAGCGAGGAATTTTCCAAAGTCCCTGCCATCCTACTGGTTCAAGAACAAGTTCTATATGATATGCCCATTCCGCATGAATTTGTGATGCAGGAACAATAACTCCACGGTTAGACAGAATATTTATAAATTCTGCAAGTCTTTCTTGAAGACATTTATCAAATGTATATATTTCCATTATATCTTAAATAATAACCTTAAATAATAAATATAAGTTATTGAATGTAATATAAAATGATGAAATCATATTTTAAAAGTAATGAACAAACACATAATTTAATATGAGTAAAAGATATTTAAATGGCTGTAATTAAGAAAGTTTCTTTTTAAAAAATATCAGAATAATAAAAAATATATATAAATAATAATTCAAATAGAACTGAAAGTATATCCAATTATACTTCGGATTTTAAACAGATTATTTAGTTACAATTTAACGGTCTTTCAAACAATAGTTCACTTTTTAAATCTCTATTTAGCCACCAATTTATGATACGTAATTTCTAGTAAACTTTAACTTCCAAGTTATTCTGTATTGAAGATTCATTGAAAAATTTTAACGCGCGTAATTTAAAATATAGTTGAAAATAAAATTAGTAAACACTAAAATAAACATTCTCATAAAACTTCTTGCTTGAATTTATTGGTATAATAACAACAAATAATTATATGGTATTAAATTACGTATAAGAAATATTTGAATTGGATATTTAATATAAAATTTAAATATTAAAAAAGAATATAAATTATTTCACAATTTTATAAATTTATATATCACTAGCATTTCTAGTTTTTAATTAAGTAACAAATTTATATTAGTTAAGGGATAAATAATACAATAAATATAATTAAGAAAATATAAAAATTCTGAAATATTAATAAAATAATTTATTTATAAAAAATAATTTTTTATAATACATAAACTTATATAATGTTGATAAAAGAATATTATGAGAAAAATTAATATTGTAAATTTTTACGATTATGTTTTTTTAATAGTTAACAATTTTTTATACTCCTATACATTTAACATTTATATATAAATTTATGGTGCATACAGTGCCAACATTGTGTCAATCCAATCAATAAATATATGTATATTTAATATGAATAATATCCAAAGATTAATCTATTGACAAATAGAGAATAAAAATAAGAGACTTTAAATAAGTATATGTAATTTACTTACCTGTTTTCTGAACATGACTTCTTGATTTCTACTTCTTTCGTAGATTGACTAGAATTTTTTATCCTATTGTATTAATGACTATCAATATTAAACAAATACATTTAAATCATATTTGTTTTCTAATTAGTCATACACATAATTAGTAATTAAAACTAAAATTATTGTTTTTTATAGCAATGGAATATGATCGGTTTTTATTTATTGAACAGACATACTTGACAATTTTCATGAACTATTCTGGGTTTTATGCTAGATATATAAACACTTATTCATCATCTTTTAGTTTTTATTATTCTTTTAATATAGATTATTGAATTAATAACATTAATGATTTTTGTACCATTTTGTTATTTGTTAAATGTTAAATTTTAAATGATATATATAGTCATGAAATTTAGTCATCATCTTGTTTTTATTTTAATAATTTAATAAATGTAATAAAAACATTCATAATAAAATTATCCGTATTTCTTATTTAAATAATTTATTTTATAAAAAAGTAATATTTGAGTATAACTATATATTGAAGGTTCTTATCGATTGTATAAATGAAATAACTAGCTTTTTATTTTTAATTAATACATTTATAGAAAACAATATGTTTCATATATGCATTTTTATTTTGATTAAAACATTTATTTTTTACATCTCCAAAATTTTTTGTTATTTTATATATTTTGTTTAAAAGCAAAATCTTATGATTTATTAAATTTAATATATACATTAAAAGTTATTTAATTAAAATAGATCGATCTTAATTATTTAAATTGAATAGTCAAATTAACTCTCAAATTATTAGTTTAACTTTTTAATAACATTGCTATTTAAAACACTATTAATTAGATTATATAATATTATAATTTCAATTACAAAACTAATTTATGAAAATAAGTAATCAATATTAAAGTTAATTACAGGTTCAAAAGATTTTACTCTTTGACTTAACAGTTTAAAATAGTATTAATTATTACAATTAATGTTAATAGGGAATATTGTTGAATAAGAAATAAACAGTAATATCAGTTATTATAGCTAAAATTTTGTTAAAATTTATGTTGAATTTCTGTACGTATGCTGCGAATCATTAGAATTCAAATTCTTTGTAATACAAAAAGTAAAATGTTCAAAGGAAAGGGAGCAGCAGTGTAAGAAGGTACTTGAAATTTGTTAAATCTAGTGATGCGCAAAAGGATCACTGCATTGATGCAATGATTTCCTTTCTTCTCCATTAGATTAGAGAGAATACACATTTTTCTTTTTACAATGTAAGCAATGCAATACAGATAAATGTTAAGCAGAGTAGTGGTACGAAATTTAATTTAAGATTTGAATTTTTTTAATCCTGATATTTAGAAATTTCTTTCATCCTACGTTCAGACTTTTCACGCATGCGCAGTTATACGCACGTATGGAACGACATACTCCATACTATAGGCATACCTACTTATTATCTGCTCAATTAACGCCCAAGGCAGAGAAAGACAGATAAAGAGTTAGAGAGAGCGAGAGTGTGTGTGAGAGAGCGTTATAAGGAAAAAGACAGAGCAAATGAAAGGAAGGTATTTGGATAGATGGCGACAAAACACGACGAGTGACGGCAGAACAGTGGAAGACGTCGCGACAATAAGTGGAGTACTTACTTTGATTATGCAGGCAATATTCAATAAATATTTATCTCATTACGAATATGGAACTCAAATAAAGGTGCAAACATAACCTTCCCTCGTTGATACTGTCTGAAAAAAGGCAATATGAAGGTTTATGGAAACAGTATTAACCTCGCCTTGTTTTGTTATTAATATGGGAGGTGGCTAGTGATCGTTTGTATTGTTTTATAATCTACAAGCGTAAAGTGCATTCTTACTGTTTTGTGGCTCCATGGCGTAATATTATGCCCTTGTTGATATTGTGGATTTTGGTGTTATTCGAGGTATCATCGCGCAATATGAGGGCAACATGAACGATCCGATTGTCGCCGGGGATATCGACGATGACGGTTATAAGCCGAGATTTGTAAGGGTAAGGTTTTTTAATTTGCATATTGCTTACAGCGATGTACTTTGTTTTTTAATTTTAGAAATTATTATTTAAACTAATAATGGTGATAGTATTGGCGATAACAATTTTTATGAACGTTACACGATGTATGACATTTCGTATTTATTTTTATAAAAATAAAATATTCTTAAATTAAAATAATTATCGAATGAAATAAATAATTATGTGATTGAAAAAATGAAGATAACGTATTCTTTACTAATAAAATAAAAATTTAAATGAAATTAAAATAAAGGAAACTCATGTATATACAAGTATATACATGTAACACGTATATACAATTGTCTATTATAATACTTTATGTAAAACGATAAATATAATTTTATCTATAATATATAAATATATTCATTTGGATTTAATTTCGATTTTTCAAGTTTCCTTTTTTCTTATATTTATTAATTGTGTGGTAAATTATGGAAAACAAATGTCACATAAAAGTGAAAACTATATAACAGTTTAAAATTAGAATCAACTATTTCTCTTATGAATTAATCTACTTTAAAAATTTAATTTCGCATAGTTGTTTTTATTTGATTTATTTTTATTTTTTATTTTGTTAACTTTTATATGTATTGACTCTTACAATTCAGTATTGTATTCATAATTTTTAATATGCTCAAAGAAAATACCCATATTGAACATATATAGGTGAAATGGATATATAAAATTAATTAAGCCCTAGTGTGAAGTTAATTTTATATTGAGTATATTTTTTGACAAGACAGTAAATAAGGTAAAACGTCTAAATTTTTCTAGGACATATCAAACTCCATTTGAATCATTTCTGAAACAACCACCTTAAACGAAAATATTTATTTATTAGATTATTTTACTTGTACATATGCATATGCGCATCTGCACTTGCACCTGTATCGTATACTATCGCTGCACTGTGACGAATACGGTTTCAGAGTTCTGTACTTTTTCTAACTTTTTAATTACTGTTACTTTATACTCATATCTTTATAAAAAAATTGTAGAATATTATTTTCTATTTTAATTCATACATTTTTAAGTTTAATATCAACGTAAATATTACCACTAATATAACTTAATATTGTACAAAACTAATACAAATTTTCTAATTTATTTGATTGTTTGTTTATTATTAGTAACGTTATTTCATACAACTTATAATAAAAAAGAATAATTTTCCTATAGTTTGAAATTAAATGACTATCTGTTGTTCAATAACTGTGTCTGTATTATATTATAAAACCATTTTCGATTTTTTTTTTAAACATCCATTATTAAAAATCATCGTAAAATACCTTAGGTATTTTCCTTAATCAAAGAAAAGTCAGAAACTCGTTTATAGATGAATAAAAAGATAGTATGTGTGACCATGGTTTCAGAATGTTTTATTCGATCAATTATATACATTTACTTTATTATGACACGTGTTGCCTATATAGCGTGATTTTTTACTATCGCCTCATACATTATGTAACTTTATTCAGAAAAATGTGAAATAAGGCTCATTTGTACCGATTGTGTAATATTAACGACTAAATCAACGATAGAATTTATGTGATTAATATATTCATTAAAATCTATTCTTATTTGATTCTTATTGTATCACTTGATTTTATTTTATTATATTTTTCTAAAGTTTAAATTTGCTTCAATTCTTGTTTCTTAGATAACTTTATATTTTTGTATTTAAGATTTTTCTAAAGGTATTTACCGAATAAATTTCTATTTTAATTGAACGTTAATTTGTTATCGTATATGCAATACTTGAATTTTCGTTTGTGTGCGTATCATAATAAAATGCGGAGATTACATAATATTAAAATTCATGCCCAATATTGATGCAGGAATAAAGTACAAGATGATAAGGTATGCTGTCAAATGTACAAAGAAGTTATGCAGTAAAGAGTAGAATTTTAATGTTTGTGAATTTGCATTGAATATTCATGATTATTCTACCGCAGTATCCATATGTTTCAACATATGCTTACTATTAGTGGAAGTTAACTCCAAAAGTAAATGGAATCGTCCAGATTGTACTTGAATAAAGTATTGGTGTAAAAATGGCGTTGAATTTAAAAAAATTAGAAAGAAAAGATTAGGATAGACCGTGAGATGCATTGTTAAGTTTGAATATACGAAATAAATGAATGGAATGTATTGTTTTTCTCAAGTTCTTATAAAACAACTTCGCACTAGTGTGTATTATTCTCAAAAATCTAAAAGATTGCTAACATTTTTTGTATACGGATTGGATAGTCGA